GTGTTGAAGAATTGATGCTTTTGAACTGGTGCTGGAGGAGACTCTTGAGAGTCCCTTGGACAGCAAGGAGATCCAGCCAGTCCATCCTAAAGGAGATCAATCCTGAGTGTTCATTGGAAGGACTGATGTTGAAGCTGAAAACTCCAATACTTTGGCCACCTGATGCAAAGAGCTGACTCATTTGAAAAGACCCTGTTGCTGGGAAAGATTGAGGGTAGGAAGAGAAGGGGACGACAGAGGATGAGATGGTTGAATGGCATCACTGACTCTTTGGACGTGAGTTTGAGTAAACTCCAGGAGTTGGTGATGGACAGGGAGGGCTGGCATGCTGCAGTCCATGGGGTCGAAAAGAGTCAGACATGACTGAGCAAAAGAACTGAACTGAACTGAAAGTAAGAAATACATATTTCTTTACAAGCTAGTACACGAATGCCTGTGACCCCATGGACTGTAGCCTGCCAGGATCCTCTGTCCATGGGATTCTCTAGGCAAGAATACTGGATTGGATCACCATGCCCCCTCCAGGGGATCTTCCCGACCCCAGAGATTGAACCTGAGTCTCTTATGTCTTCTGCATTGGCAGGCGGGTTCTTTACCACTAGCGCCCTGGGAAACCCCAGTATATGCATACACACACACACACACACATATAACTAAAATATTTCACAATCCAGGACTAACTGGTTTCACAAACCAGTACTTACTCTGTGTGGTGTTCTCTGGAATTTAAATTCTATTTAGTTCATTTTTATAACACTAGTCTGCACCAACTAGGATGAGTTCCTGACACATTCATTGGTCATAGCCCTCAGTTGGAAGAGCCCTGTCTAGAGAAAGCAGCCATAGGGCCTATGGACACCAAGCACCTTGACGGAGGTCACCTTGGTAGTTGATGGCAGAGCTGGAACAGAAGCCGGATCTCCCGGGCCCCATGTTACACAGCTCCTGTCTGCCCCTGGTGCTTTTTGGCTCCCCTCCCCTGCTTCCTTCCCCACCTCCCCCGGCTGCTCTAGCCAGATCCAGTGACCCACACATACCCCTAGATCCCTCACACCAGGCCAGCCTCCAGCTTCGAGGTTGATTGATCAAGGCCAAAGTTTTCCACCCTGAGCCCCAGCCCCATCAACCTCCTCCTGTGAAATCCTGATCAACCCAAACCTCCTATGCTAGCCGTTGGTGGACACTTGGTGATTCTCCCTCCAAGGCCCTTTGTAGGCCAAAGAGTCTGGGTATGGATATCAGTTACACTATAGATTGTCCTATGCTATGTGCTAAGTTGCTTCACTTGTGTCCAACTCTTTGTGACTGTAGCCCGCCAGGCTCCTCTCTCCATAGGATTCTCTGGTCAAGAATACCGGAGTGGGTTGCCACGTCCTTCTCCAGGGGATCTTACTGACCCAGAGACTGAACACGAGTCTTTTATGTCTTCTGCATTAGCAAGTGGGCCCTTTACCACTGGCGCCACTTGGGAAGTCCATAAACTGTCCTTAGGAATCTCTATTTTACTTTTTATTATTTTTTTTTAAAGTATTTATTTGGCGGCACCAGGTCTTAGTTGCAGCACATGGGATCTTTAATTGCAGCTTGCAGACTCTTATTGTGGCATGTGGAATCTAGTTTCCCAACCAGGGATCACACCCGGGCCCCTCTGCATTGGGAGGATGAAGTCTTAGCTACTGGAACACCCGGGAAGCCCCAAGGAATCTCTATTGAAGGTTTACTTGTTGGAAACACCAGTGCTGAAGGGGCAGCCAGACATTGGGCTATATGCTGGACAACAACTCCTTGTGATCTTCACAGCAGCCCTGCTGGATGGGGCCGGTCTCGTTTTACACACGGGGCACCAAGGGTCGCTGATCTTAATGAACTTGTCTATGGTCATATATCTAAGTGGTAGAACTTGGACTGAAGCTTGGTTCCCAGTGTAAGACTTTCTCCCCATACCAGGAAGTTTCCTACCTGCACACCACTTTAGCCATACCTGTTTACTGACAGGTACCCAAGGGAGTGACCACTGCAGCCCCTTTCACGTCATCAGGACCAGCTACATAACTTGTGGGGTCCCTTCTACAGAAATTATTAAGACCTTCAAAACAGTAACATCCAAGCATTAAACTAAACAGGGTCCTTCCAAGTGTCGGGCTGTGTTTAACTGCACAGGTCACATACCCGTGACACTTCCCGACAGACAGTTCCCTCCGCCCACGTTAACCCACTCCTCTGTCCCTCCACTGGCTAACTCCTTCCCTTCCTCTGAGAGTCACCTCCTACATGAAGCCTCCCTTAACTTCACCCCCTCCCAAACTATACTGAATTCCCTCTGTTTCCTCCAGTTGTCCCGTCATAGCACAGACCATGGTGTAATAGTCTCAATTCTTGTCTGACAGCCCCCCACGCCCAACCACCACACACACACACACACACACACACACCCCAGGCTGGGATCCCCTTAAAGGTAGAGAGTGCTTTCCAGCTCTGCATTCCCAGAACTTAACCTTGGACCAGGTACCTTGTAGGTGCCCAAAGAGTTTTGTGAAATGAAGTGAAGGAGACCCGTGATCACTGAGGAGGAACACAGACCTCAGTCTGAAGGCAGGCAGGCTTCTGGGGGCTGGGGGGAGGACATAACCAGACAGGTGAACGCACAATAGGTAGGATGAGCAAAGGAACCATGGGGAGAGGAGAGGGGGCTTCATGGTGAGGACCAAACAGGATGACGAGCACCGCCAACCCATCTCCAGCTAATCCCAGAAGGTTTCCCGGAGCTGGAGGCCGGCATGCCTCCAAGAATTGATTTGGGGTCAGGAATCCATAGGCAACCTGCTTACGCGCTCTTCCCTGGGAGTCTCGACTGTGATAAGTCAAGGAACTGATGCCTCTTCAACACCCTCTTCCCCACCCCACACTCCTCCGCCCACCCAGCTCTGGCCTTAGAAAACATAAAAGGGCCAGACTCAGGTCTTACGGTAGATTGATGGCATCCTCCTCTAAGAAGTTCACCAAACTGCCCCTCGAGGAAAGTGGGAGGCCTTTGGTCGTGACGGTCCTGTTCATTGACTTGGGGTTTGGAAAGGGCTTCGACATTTGATTGAGTGCATTCAAGACATTGAGGGTCTCCTTCTTCAGCAGGGCCTCCTCCCCATCTCCCACTTTGTAGAATGTCTGTGATGCCATGGAGTTTGTTTGGGACCGCAGCCGGCACCATGCAGGACAACCAAGCTGACAGGAAGCAGAGAGAAACTGCAGGCAGCAGACACACCCTTAGTTGCGGTGGGATGGGGGTGCGATGAGCTGACTTCATAATTATCACAGAGTGTAACAATTAGGAGCTACCCTCCCCCCTGACCGGGGGCTGCTGCAGCCCAGGGCCAACCTCAGGAGCCGGCACAGCCCCAGAATAGTCGACGATGCCCCTTGGGCTAAGGCTCTGAGGTTACAGCGGCCCTGCTCTTCTCTGAAGATCTCAAAATGCTCACCACCTGTGCTCTTCTGATCTGCCCTGGGAAGGAGAAGGTGGATGGTGAGACAGTGGTACCTGGGCGTGGAGGGAGGCAGGCAGTACTGGATGGACTGGGTCCCTGGGAGTGGGACACCTCGCCGATGGAATTCTGAGACTTCATATCCAGACATGGGAGGCAGCAAACCCCGTGCCCAGCTGTGTGGGCACAGCAGGGAAAGCTGGGATGGCTCATGGGGTTCAGAACACCCACATACCCAGGTTTTACTGCTGGTATTCTAAATTCTGTCCCACCCCCACTTCAAGTGTCTTCAGGTATGAAGACATGGTGGGTGGTGCAGAGGCATTCAGAAATGGGCCAGAGGTTGTTTCTGTTCTCAAGGAAACCATGTCACCAGGAGGAACACACACACACAGCTTTGTGGGGTGAGGAAGCCGGCAGCTGTTAAAAGAGCGATGGCTTTGCACCTCGGTGGGGACTCCTCAGCTCTTAAGTCCAGCTCTGCCCACAGCTTCAGAGGCTGTGAAGCCTTTGGCAAATGATTTCGCCTCCGAGCCTCATTTTGCTCATCTGTAAAACAGGGATAAACATAGCACCTACCTCACTAGATGGAGAAGGAAACGGCAACCCGCTCCAGTGTTCTGGCCTGGAGAATCCCACGGGCAGAAGAGCCTGGCCGGGCTCACAAGTCCGTGGGGTCGCAAGAGTCGGACCCGACTTAGCGACCAAACCACCACCACCACCTCCTCACTAGACTGTGCGGAGCTAACCTTGTAAAGTTGTTTTCTTTCTTCCAGAGGATGAGGTCCAGCCAAGGACGTTTAAAANGGCCGGCCCCGGCACACCCGGGGGGGCCCTTCCCCTCCCTCCTGCGCTCCCGGGGAGCCCGGAAACGTGGGCGTGGGCGAGCCACGCCCCTGGGAGGGTAGAAACCCACCCCCCACACACATTGTGCCCGGCCCCGCGCCGGGTCCCACGGCTCCGCCAGTCCGCGCGGGCGCGGGCAAGTCAAGTGCGGGACGTCCCGGGCCTCCCTCCCTGCCCATCAGCCCCACGTGTTTCGTTTTCAGTGGTGGACCTGGTTTCTGCAGACCTGGAGGAGGTCGCCCAGAAATGTGGCCTGTCTTACAAGGTGAGCTGACCGTCTCCACGCTCCACACCTGGGGGTGTCTAAATGCCCATCCCCAAGCAGACGGTTTCCCAAAGATTGATAACTGCGGCGTCTGAGACCCCGGGAGGCCCGCTCTTTTGACGGGTCGTTGCCGAATACTTTTGGGCTGCTGCAGCCCGGATCCTGAGCTGCCCCGTCCCTTCTGCAGGCCCTGGTCGCCCTGAGACGGGTGCTGTTGGCTCAGTTCTCAGCTTTCCCCTTCAATGGCGCTGATCTCTACGAGGAACTGAAGACCTCCACGGCCATCCTGTCCACCGGCGTTGGAAGGTTTGTGTGTGTACGTGTGGGACCAGGTCAGAGGCAGGGCGACCTGATTGCCTCTAGCTGGGCTTTGGATCCTGGAGTCTGGAGCCAGCATCTGTCTTTCAGACAGTGCTGAGGACAGTCAGGACTTCTGACTGCTCTTACCCTATAAGGTTTTTCTTAACTCCTAACTTTTGGGGATGCAGAATTATTGGGGGGGGGGCCTGTCCTGCGTGTAGAGTAGGTTGTTTGGCAGCTTCCCTGGCCTCTGCCTGCTAGATACCAGTAGCACCTCCGTTCTCCCCTTGTCTGATAGTCAAAAATGTCTCCAGCTGTGACCTCTGGGTGGGTTGGGGGCAAAATTGCAGCTAGTTGAGAACCACTGAAACACAAGATGTCAGTATTTCATTATTATTCAGCAAATCAGGGCAGCTCTTCTCTGGCCCTACCTCCCCATCCATTTAAGGATGGATGGGGCAAGAGAGTGTGGCAGGACTAGGTTAAGTACCAGCCATTGACACGTAGTAGGTTATACAATGGAGCAGCGAAGAATTGCTGCCTTCAAACTTTGGTGCTGGAGAAGACTTCTGAGAGTCCCTTGGACAGCAAGGAGATCGAACCAGTCAATCTTAAGGGAAATCAACCCTGAATATTTGTTGGAAGGACCGATGCTGAAGCTGAAATTCCAGTATTTTGGTCATCTGATGTAAACCCCTGATTCTGGGAAAGATTGAAGGCAGAAGGAAAAGAGGGCATCAGAGGATGAGATGGTTAGATGACATCACCGATGCAATGAACATGAACTTGGGCAAACTTCCGGAGACAATGAAGGACAGGAAGGCCTGGCATGCTGTAGTCCACGGGGCCGCAAAGAGTCAGACACAACTGGGCAACCGAATAACAACAGCAAGGTTATACAATAGGTTGTATGATCTCTTCGTGACCCTGTGAGTTCGTGATTACTAACCCCACTTGAGTTTAGCACAGGAGGAGCTAGGGGCAGTGGTGGGGCTCCAGCCCTGGGGTACTTATTCCTGAACTTGGTTCATTCCTTGTACACTGCAGCAGGAGGGGGCGAGAGTAGTTTCCTTCTGCCATGTTTGGAGAGAGAAAGAGTTGGAAGAAAATAGGCGGCTTCTGGCCAAGGAAGTCTGACCTCTTCCCTGGCCTGCTTGTGTGGAATTTGATAAAGAACTCTGCCACCACAAAGGTCTTTGGATCGGTTTGGCCCTCGCTGTTTCCATAACACGTTCTCTTGGCAGGGTTCACATAACACAGTGCTTGCTTTCCCTGGGTTGAGGGTTCAGGTCTGTCATTCATCAGGCACTAGCCAGTGTTAAGCAAGGGTACCAGAGATGTGCAGATGGTATGGGTACGGGTGAGGCCCCTGCCCTTGAGGAAGCTGGGGTCCACTGGGTGGAGAAGAACAGGTGGACATGGGAGAGGTGTGAGCATGCCTGCAAGCAGCTAAGGCGGGGGTAATTAAAAGGAAGCAGGCTTGGCCTTTGGGAGTTTGTAAAACCAGAGTTTATAAAATACAGAGAGAGCGGTCAGGTGGTAAACTGGCGGAATGGCGGCCACCATGGGTCACTACAGAGGAGATCAGAGAGGTTCAGGACCGCTCTGTGCAGTGAGGAATGGATGGGCCTTCTCTGAGTGCTCATCGGGAAGCAGGCACTGTTACTCTAGGTACATTATTTCATTTATCTTCACAACTACTTCCCCGATGGCTCGGTGGATAAAGAATCTACCTGCAGTGCAAGAGACACAGGAGATGTGGGTTCAATCCCTGGATCAGGAAGAGCCCCTGGAGAAGAAAATGGCAACCTACTCTAGTATTTTTGCTTGGAGAATCCCACCAGCGGAGCCTGGTGGGCTGCAGTCCATGGGGTCACAAAGAGGCAGACACAACTGAGCGACTAACACTTTCACAACTACAGTGAGCCTGTGGCTGTGAAAATCACCACCCTGGGACCTCGCTGGCGGTCCAGTGGTTAAGACTGCACCTTCCAATGCAGGGGATGCAGGTTTGATCCCTGGTCGGGCAGCTAAGACCCCACATGCCTTACGGCCAAGAAACCAAAACATAAAGCAGAAGCAATATTGTAGCAAATTCAGTAGAGGCTTTAAAAATGGCTCATTCACATCAAAAATTCTTTAAAAAGAAATGAAAGCCATCATCCTGTAGATAAGGAAACTGGGACTCAGGTTAAGAGACTTGCACAAGATCCCCCAGCTAGGGATTTCCCAGGTGGTCCAGTGGTTAGGACTCCTGTGCTTCCACTGCAGTTTGGTCCCTGGTTCGGAAACTAAGGTGACTTCCCTGGTGGCTCAGATGGTAAAGCATCTGCCTACGATGCGGGAGACCTGTGTTCAATCCTTGAGTCGGGAAGATCCCCTGGAGAAGGCAATGGCAACCCACTCCAATACTCTTGCCTGGAAAATCCCATGGATGGAGGAACCTGGTAGGCTACAGTCCATGGGGTCGCCAAGAGTCGGACACGACTGAGCGACTTCACTTTCACTTTACGACTTCACTTTTCGGAAACTAAGATCCCACAAGCTGGGTGGCACAGCCAAAGGGGGGAAGAAAAAGATTCCACAGTGAGTAAGTGGCAGACCAGGCCCTTGAGGTCACACCTGTCACACTGCTAAGCCTAAGAACTCAGCTCTAAGGCATCTGCCCTGTTGCTCCCTCCAGGCAGGAGGCTATGTCATGAAAGTAAAGTTACAGGCACAGTGGAGGTGGGCGGGGTGGATGGGGCTGGGGTGGATGGGGCTGGGGAGGCTGGCAGGAGAGGCCCAGGAGGATACAGCAGGGGAGGGTGTTGTGAGCAGATCTGGGGCGGGTGACAGCAGGAGGCATATTGAAGAAATGCTGTAAGCCTTCCTGCTGGGGGGATACAAAGGTGGCAAATCAAAGATGACCTCTAGGTTTCTAGCCTTTGTCACAGTGGTCTTTGGACACCTGATGGGTATTACTCTGACATGGGAGGGGAGGGGAGTTCTGTAGTCAACAGCTCACAAAATGCTGGTTAACCCAAATGAAGCAGGTTTCTCTGTTTTTTTATCGGCCTTTTTTTTTTTTTTGGACATGCCATTTATCATGTGGGATCTTAGTTCCCCAACCAGGGAACTGAACCTGAGCCTCCTGCCTTGGAAGCAAGGAGTCTTAACCCCTGGACTGCCAGGGACATCCCTCTGCTGTAGATCTTCTCACCGCCTGTAGTGCTGGGGGCATCTTACAAGTGGGAGAGCAGGCAGCGAGCCTCGGAAGCAGCTGTATTGACTGGGGGAGATGGGTGGTTCCTTGAAGGCCAGAGCTGTGTCTTGTTCATCTCTGCCTCCCCCTTGTTTTAGAAAAAGGCCTTTAGGAAATGTGAGACAGTCAGACGATGTTTGAATGAGTGACTGAAAGAATGAACGAAAGTCAGTCAGAGGGGAAGGTGGAGGATAAATTCCAGACAGCACTTGTGTTCAAAACAGGGGGTTAGGCTCAGTTGTACTTCTGTTCCACAAGGCAGGTGGTGGGGGGGTCTATCCATGTCAAGGTGGATTTGGGAATTCCTTATGGAGATCCTCATGGCCAGGAATGCGACTGATTCTTGACTGTAGAGTCCAGACCTGTGGTTTAGCCCAGGCTGTTCATTAGAATCATTTGGGAAGCTTAAGAAATATTCATGCTTGGGTCTCTTTAGAAATTCTTTGTTTTCCGGCCACACCATGTGAGATCTTAGTTCCCTGACCAGGTATGGAACCTGTGCCCCCTGCATTGGGAGCACAGAGTCTTAAACCCTGGACCACCAGGGAAGTCAACATTTTTGAAATAACATGATAATAACGGAGAACAGATTAAGCAGTTGCCAGGGGCTGGCTAGGGATTTAGGGGTGAACGGGTGGGGGTGTGGCTATAAAAGGGTGGCCCAGGGAGCCCTGCGGCGATGGAAATGCTCTGTCTTGACTGCAGTGGTTCCATAAAGCCACATGTGGGATGAAATGACAGAGAACTGTACACTTGGACACACGTGGAAGGAAAGCAGGTGCAGCTCTGGACCGCGCCAGTGTTGTTTTTCGATGTTGCGCATCTTAGTGTAAAAGATGCTACCTTAGTGGAAACCAGCTGAAGGGTACACGGGACCTCACTACACGTTGTTTGTTTTTGCAACTTCCTGTGAATCTATAATTATTTCAGAGTTTTAAAGCATGACAAATTATGGGCTGTGCTATCGAGGAAACCCAGCAGGGGCTGCGATGGAGATTGAGAGGAGAACCATTGAATGAGGCAGCGAAGAGACCTCCGCAGAGGAGTGATTACCCAGAGGTGATCTTTTAAGGCGAGAGTGAAAGGATGAGGGGTCAGAGGGGAACACTCGCCCGTGCCGGCTTTCCCCAAAGGAGACTCCACAAGGAGAAGCCTCCTGGCCAGAGATGTCAGAACATCTCTGGACAGAACAGCACTTGGAAGGAATGTCTTGCTGTTCCTCCTCCCCTCCTCTCCTCCCTCCCCTCCAGTCCCTTCGGTTGATGCTCTGCCTTCCTCTTTTGCCATCAGCCTGGACAAACTGCTAGATGCTGGTCTCTACACTGGAGAAGTGACTGAAATTGCAGGCGCCCCGGGTAGCGGCAAAACCCAGGTACACCTGCGGCCAGCAGGGTTAGGGGAGGGGGACGCATAGTCCTGGGTCTCTGGGGAAGCTTCTGCCAGCATCCTGTGATTTCAGAGCTTGGAAGAGAGAAGCTGGGTGGTGAGGAGCGGGACTTGAACTCGCGTCTTGGGGCCCATTCACGCCTCTGGTATCTGGATGAGATTTGGTGGGGGGGGGGGCTCCCATTCTGGGCCCTTCTTGAGGGCTCAGTTTCACCCAATGGCCTGTCTCTACTCAGGTATGTCTTTGTGTGGCAGCAAACGTGGCCCATGGCCTGCAGCAGAACGTCCTCTACATTGATTCCAATGGAGGGCTCACAGCCTCCCGCATCCTCCAGTTGCTTCAGGCCAGAACCCCGGACGAGGAGGAGCAGGTAAAGGGCAGGAAGGTTGGGTTCTTTTGAGGTTCTGACGCCATAAGACCACGTTATCTAACATGGCAAGAATTTGGACCATTTGGGTGACTAGTCATTTCTGGTTTTGAAACTTGCCGTTCAGCCAATGCTTCCTGTATTGTAAAGCCTCCACTTTATGACATCATCCCAGTTGGATGCTACCCACAAGGATCCTTCCTTGAAACCCAGCCCCTGGCATCCCCTCATTCAGGGCAGACACACGCCCAGCCTCTGTGTTTCTCCCCCATATCTTGCCCAGGGCAGACACGCTGATCACTGCCACTCCTTCCCACGGAGCTCTGACTTGGCTTTGCAGCTCAGCACCCAGGCAGCCAGCATGCTGAGAACTGGCCCATCAAACAAAGCCCATCGCCATCCCTACCTGAGTCCTTGTGTCTTAACTGCCTCTTCTCTCTCAACCACAGGATCCCTCTTCCTCTCGTGTGACCCCCAGCTCCTCTTCTCTAAGGCCCTCCCTTCTCTCTCCTGCCCCTTCAGGCAGGAGCTCTCCAGAGGATCCAGGTGGTGCGTGCGTTTGACATCTTCCAGATGCTGGACGTGCTGCAGGACCTGCGAGGCGCTGTGTCCCAGCAGGTGAGCCTGATCTTCTGCCCTCCCTGCTCCCCGCAGCTCACCCATGCTGTCTGCGTGTGGGCAGGTGTGCAATCGGGTGACTCTAGCTGTGCCTGCCATTCCCAGAATGGGATTTCTGGGTGCTCAGTCCTTTCCCTTCTCAATTCTTTGCCTCCTCGTTCACATGCCCGTCTCCCCCACTAAAGGGTAAGCCCCTTTCTTGAGTGCAAGGATCAGTCTCTGCATTCCAACCGGGTCCATTCAGCTGCAAATAATAGAGTCTCTCTGACAGACACTTGAGCCTTGAGGACATTTAATTATCTCACATGAGTCTGGAGGTTGGTACACCCATAAAATCAGGGCTCTAGGTTGGTGTGCCTGATTCTCTGGCTCTTCCCCCTCATGATTGCAGAGTGGCTGCCATGGCTCCGAGCATCATGTCTTCACACATCCGTATCCAGGGCAGTGATAGATGCCTCTTTTCTGTACCTTTTTCTCTGGAACCCACCATTACACTTCCCAGTTCCCTTTACATCTAACTGGCAAAAATTGAGTTGTGTTTTTATGTCCTAGACAAGAGGTTGGGCCCACCTTCCCTGATGTCAGGAGATTTTCTGCCCAGTGCTTGAACACATTCAGAGTCCTGTTGACAAGGGAGAGAGGTTAGGAATGGCATTTGCATTGGTACCCTACCTGATAGGTGCTTGGATAGGATATGGTGCATGATTTATATACCTTTACATTTGGGAGAAACCTTAGAGAGACTAGTTTAATTTATCTTAAACTTTTTGTCTCACCCCAAAGCATATCATGTTACTAGGGTTGTATGTAACATAAATCGTTTAACAAACTTTAGACCATATAATGGTTGAACGAATACTTGGCACAGGAATCATAGCAGGTTATGCCTCCCCATGTGTTGGGACATGAAGTAGTCCTGACCTAATCCGACTCTCTTGTTGGAACTGAGCAAAGTGAGGGCCAGAGACATTCAGTGAGTTGCCCACAGTCACCGCATATTTTGGATAAGAACCAAGCTTAGGGACTTCCCTGGTGGTCCAGTGGTTAAGACGCTGCACTTCCATTGCAAGGGGCATGAGTTTGATCCCAGGTTGGAGAACTAAGATCCTACATACCTCATGGCCAAAAAACCTTTTTTTTTTTTACATTAAGAGCAAAGCTTATAACCCAAACCTCTCAACTCCCAGGTCAAAAGACTTTTTTTTTTTTTTGGACTGTAGCACTGTTAGATGATATGTATTCTATTATTGCATAGCAAGTTACTGCAAATTATGACTTAAAACAACACGTATTTATTATCTCAATTTCTGTAGATCAGAAGTCTGGGCACAGCTTGGCCTGGTCCTCTCCTTAGGGTCTCATTAGGTTGTGATGAAGGTGGTCGGTGGGCTGTACTCTTATCTGTAGGCTCAGCTGGGGAAGAACCACTTCGAAGTTCATTCAGATTTTTGGCAGAATTCATTTCCTAGAGGTTTCAGCTTCTTGCTGGCAGCTGGTTGTTGGCTGAGGCCATCTTCAAGTCCTCAAAGCTGCCCACTATTCCTGCCGTGTGCTTTCCATCGGCAGTTCACAGCAAGGCTGCTTGCTTCTGCACGACAGCACACGTGTGAGAACGGAATGCAACAGGTTATCCTGTGTGACAATGTGACCATGGGCTGGCAGTGCGTTCTGTTTGACATATAATGAAGCCTAATCAAAAGAGTGATATCTGGGACTCCCCTGGTGGTCCAGTGGTTAAGACTTCGCCTTCCAATGCAGGGGGTGCAGGTTCGATCCCTGGTCAAGGAGCTAATATTTCAATGCCTCGGGGCCAAAAAACTAAAACATAAAACAGAAGCAATATTGTAAGAAACTCCATAAAAAGTTTAAAAATGGTTCACATCAGAAAAGTCTTTTTAAAAAACAAAAGAAAAAATTTTCTGATCGGGGACCATAGGATCTGAGCACAGATTTCTCAAATTTAATTATTTTAGAGTATCTGATATCCTGTGATTTAAACTTTCTCTGTCCACCCAAGTCTTCAGTGAAAGTGCAAGGGCAAGTCGCTCAGTCGTGTCCGACTCTTTGCAACCCCATGGACTATACAGTCGGTGGAATTCTCCAGGCCAGAATACTGGAGTGGGTTGCTATGCCTTCCTCCAGCGGATCTTCCCACCCCAGGGATCGAACCCAGGTCTCCCGCATTGCAGGTGGATTCTTTACCAGCTGAGCCACCAGGGAAGCCCAGGCTTCAGTATAATCTGTTACACATACACACTAGGGTAGGGGGAGAGGGCATTGCTTGAGTTCCATCATTGAGGGGCAGCTGTATTTGGGGTGGGAGAGGGTATTTCCTACCAGTTTCTGATAGAGAGGCAGGTTTGTCTGGTAACGGGCGCGCCCTGGAGGCCAACTGGTTGGTCGCACCTGCTTCCCATCACCCGCCAGGTCCGCAGTTCTTCCGGGACTCTGAAGGTGGTGGTTGTGGACTCCGTCGCTGCGGTGGTCGCCCCACTTCTGGGAGGTCAGCAGAGGGAAGGTGAGTGGTGTGGCAGAGCGCAGGGTGGAGGGTCGTGATCTTGCCTGCCGGCTCTGGAGTGTCCCGTCTTCGGCCAGCCTGGTCCCCGATGCCCACCCTCTTTGCTTTTTCTCCTCCAGGCTTGGCCTTGATGATGCAGCTGGCCCGAGAGCTGAAAACCCTGGCCCGGGACCTCAGTGTGGCAGTGCTGGTGAGGCTTGGCCAGCCATGCTTGCCTTCTCTCTGGTCCCTGGACTTCGCCAAGTGGGGAGGTGTTCTTTCTAGGTGCTCTTTATTTCCTTAAAACAGCAGCTTCTGAACCCCCAGAGTGACCCTTTGGGAAAGGGTCATAGCCCAACTTCTGTGGGTCATCTAGAGTGCCAGACTCTGAAGGGATCAGACACGTAAACAGCCAGGGGATCAGGCAATGTTATCTTTAACACTTTAAAAAAATTAATTATTTGGCTGTGCTGGGACTTAGTGGCAGCGTGCGGCATCTTTAGTTGTAGCATGCTGGATCTAGTTCCGCAAGCAGGGATCGAGCCAGAGCCCCCTGCATTGGGAGTGCACAGTCTTAGCCACTGAACCACCAGGGAAGTCCAGGGACAGTCTTGTTTTTCTTTTTACTTTCTTTTAAGTCAGGTTTATTGAGGTGTAATTCACACAGAGTAACTTCTCTTTGTTTGAGGTTTGATACAGTGGTATCTGAAGAGATCAAGATACAGAATATTTCAATCACCCCAGAAAGGTGCCTTTTCCAGAGCTTCATAGAAAAGGGATCTTTTTTGCTTTTAGAGTAACTTTTTCTGCTTATGCAGTAATTTTTTGAAAGTCTTCACACTTCTCATAGAAAGGGTAAAAAATAGTTAAATATAAGTGTCCAGTTTGTAATCAATCTCCACATCCACAGAGACCATGTTAGTGTTTTTTTTACATACCTTCATTGAATCTTTTTTCTCTACCTATGTACCTATACTTTTAATCAACTTTCCAACTAAACTGTAATCTTATGGCTTGTTTTTTTTTAAAGGACACCATTTCTCGAATCTTTTAATAGATTCTTTAAGAATGCCATTTTTAGCAGCTACATGTTTGGGGGTGGGGGGCTGCGCTGGGTCTTTGTTGCTGGGCATGGGCTTTCTCTGGTTGCAGCAAGTGGGGGCTGCTCTTGGACGCAGTGTGCAGGCTTCTCATTGTGGAGCATGGGCGCGTGAGCACAGGCTCAGTAGTTGTGATCCAGGCATTAGTTGCCCCGCATCATATGGAATCTTTCCGGAGCGGGAATCAAACCCATGTCCCCTGTAGGCAGACTCTTAACCACTGGACCACCAGGGAAATCAGGCTACATGTTATTTTGTTTAATACCATGTTACAGGGGGCAACTTTTTCTCTAAAGGACCAGGTAGTAAATACAGTTGGTCTTCCCTATCCATGGGTTCTGCATCTGTGGATTCAACCAACCACTGCTCGAATCCACAGTTGAACCTGTGAATATGGAACCTGTGGATATGCAGGGCCAACTAAACTACACCATTTTATTGATTTCTTTTGGCTGTATCAGGTCTTAGTTGCAACAGGGGGGTTTAGTTGCCCTGAGGCACATGGGATCTTGTTTCCCAGACCAGGAATTGAACCTGTGTCCCTTGCATTGGAAGGTGGATTCTTAACCGCTGGACCACCAGGGAAGTCCCTACACCTTTTCATGTGAGATGAGCATCCGCAGCTTTTTTATCCGTAGGGTTCTGGAACCAATCCCCCTGCAGATAATGAGGGATGGCTATATTAGTTTTACAGTCAGATAGTCTGTGTCACAGCTGCTTAACTGCCTATATTGCATGAGAGCAACCATAGACAATCCCTAAACAAGTGGGCATGGCTATGTTCCAATAAAACTTGATTTTCAGAAACATTTCTGGGGCCTGTGGAGAGTAGTTTGCAGTCCCTGGAATACCATAGCAGTCTTATTTCCTGATTTGGGGACTTTATGGGTCATTAACAGTTTTCCCTCTATTTATTTTATTTATTTTTAAAATATTTACTTGGCAAAATAAATAAATAAATAAATAAATAATTTACTTGGCTGTGTCAGGGCATAGTTGCAGCACGTGGGATCTTTGTTGCATCCTGGGGGGGTCTTTCTTTGCTGCACACGGGCTCTCTAGTTGTGGCGTTGCGGGCTCAGTCGTTGCAGTACACAGGCTTGGCTGCTCTGCGGCACGTGGGATCTTAGTTCCCAGAACAAGGATCGAACCCATGCCCCTGAATTGCAAGATGGATTCTTAACCACTGGGCCGCCAGGGAAGTCCCAGTTTTTATTTATTTATTTATGTTAAATGATCCTCTCAGCCCTATTCTTAGAACGGCATCCTAAACTGAGATCAGGGAGGTTGCCGTGTGTCCTGCTGGACTCCCCTCTTAGAACTGAGTACAGGGGAGCAGAAAAAGCATAGGGCAGGACAAGAGTTTTCCTCCCTTTTAAATAAGACTATAGTAAACATCCTTATATCTAAATCTCTTTATATATCTCATATTTTTTCAGACTGCTAAAAGTACAGTCAGTGAGTCAGGGACACGTGTATTTGTAAATAGCCTTGATATGACACTGCTTTTTTGTGCAGTGTAAAAGGATCTGTTTTCCTATTATTTTGTTCTTTTACTGGATCCCAAGGCCATCCTCTCCTGACTGTAGGGTCTATGTGAGTGCCTGCTGTGTGCCAGGTTCTGGCTTAGGCAGCAGAGATTCAGTGATGAACAAGCCACACCTCTGCCCCAGGGTGGGAGTTGGGGGGCGGGGGGCAAGGGGAAAACCTCAAGAGGATGCGGTGAGGTTGAAGTCCCTTACCTAAGACTAGCCTGGGTAGGGTAGAGCTGACCGACTGAAATAGGATCCCCCTGCCTTCGCAAACCCCTCCCACCTCTATACACAGGTGCACACCCTGACACAAAGGGGTGGGTGGACATGGTCTCAGGATGCCCGTCTGCTGGAGTTGAGGGTGAAAAGTGAAAGTCACTCAGTCACATCCAGTTCTTTGGAACCCCTTGGACTGTAGCCCACCAGGCTCCTCTGTCCATGAGATTCTCCAGGCCAGAATCCTGGAATGGGTAGCCATTCCCTTCTCCAGGGGATCTTCTTGACCCAGGAATCGAACCTAGGTCTCCTGCATTGCAGGCAGATTCTTTACCACTAGCACCACCTGGGAAGTGTAGTAGACCTAAGCAGACAGCCCTGCTTATCCTCAGACACTTGCCCCGTTACCTTTTGTTTTAGTCAAGCCATTGTGGGGCCTTGTGGTTTATTTATCTATTTTTAATTATTTGTTTATTTTTGGCTGTGCTGGGTCTTCATTGCTGCACACAGACTTGCTCTGGTTGCGGCGAGTGGGCGCAGTGCAGTCTTATTGCGGTGGCTTCTCTTATTTCGGAGCACAGGCTCTAGCGTGCACAGGCTTCGGTATTTCCGGCTCACGGGCTCTAGAGCGAAGACTCAGTAGTTGTGATGCACGGGCTTAGCTGCCTCGCAGCATGTGAAATCTTCCTGGACCAGGGCTCAAACCCATGTCCCCTGCACTGGCAGGCAGATTCTTAACCATGGATCACCAGGGAAGTCCCGGCATCAATGGTTAAGTGGCAAGAGCTCTGTGCAAGTCAGGAGCCCAGGGTTCTGACTCCAGACTGGTGATAAGTCATGGAGCCTTGGGGAAGTCGTTTCCTTGTACCTGGCCTCAGCTTTCCCATCTGTAAAATGAAGCCATAGGAGCAAATGTCCCAGCATTATGGGTCTATAAGCCTCTTTCTGCCGCAGGTGACCAATCACACGACCCGAGACAGGGACAGCGGGCAGCTCAAACCTGCCCTGGGACGCTCCTGGAGCTTCGTGCCCAGCACCCGGCTTCTCCTGGACAGTGCCCAAGGCTCAGGAGCTCTGGGCAGCCGACGCGTGGCGTGTCTGACCAAATCCCCCCGTCTGGTGAGCCGGCCCCAGGGGAAAGCCAGGAATCCAGGCCCTTGAGGGTGGCTTCCATGCCTGCAGATGTCTGTGAATTCCTGAAGGCTGAGACCCTGCAGCCAAAGAAGCTACCCACGTGGGCTGCTCAACTCAAACACTCACGCTTCCCTCCTGTCTTCTTCCAGCCAACAGGTTGCCAGGAGACGGTGGACTTAGGGAGCTGGGGGATCCCAGCGTTCCAGGGAGATCACAAAGGACATTGGGAGCAGAGCCCAGTGTTCCCGGGAGATCACACATGATGGTGCTGTGGATGGGGAAAGGGACAGGCCGCAAGGCCCCCAGCTCACCTGCACGGTAATGCCCGCTGCTCGCTGCCGGCAGCCCCTGAGGCGCTAGCAACACTGTCTCATCTGGAAGCCACCTCAGCCCTTAGCTCCTCTCTCCAGAAACACAGCGCTACTGGCAAGAGAGGATGCTGTTGTGGAAGGACCCAGAAATTAAAGCTGGTACCAGGTTTTCATCCCTTGTATCTACCATGTGTGTTTCCAGCGGGAGCCGGGTTCATGGACTTGGGCATCTCTCAAGAGGCACCCTGGTGCCCGGATGGATTAACGCTGCACATCACCGTCCTACCCTCCATCCTGACATAGTGACTGAGCTTGAGTCCTCTGGCTTGCCTTTGTTTCCCTTCTTCTTTTTTTTTTTTCCCTTTGCCTCTGTTTTTCCATCTGTAAGATGGGGCTCCTTTCCCCTTAACTCTGACTTTGACTTACCGGGTGGAGTAACCTTGTAAATGCAACCCATGTGTGTGTATGCTCAGCCGTGTCTGACTCTTTGTGACCCCATGAACTGTAGCCCACCAGGCTCCTCTGTCCGTGGAATTTTCCAGGCAAGAATACTGGAGCGGGTTGTCATTTCCTCCTCCAGGGGATCTTCCCAACCCAGAAATCGAACCCGTGTCTCTTGGCATCTCTTCGTTGGCGGGCAGATTCTTTACCACTAGTGCCAAAACTCTTCCTTATCTAGATCCTGCTCTTTAAAACATATTAATACAAAAGAAATTCACTGAGCTGCAGAGCCATTTGTTTTCCCCCAGATGGTGACTTTTTAGCTTCCCCCGAGTGAGGACCCCCAGAGAACCCCCATTCCTCTTTCCCTCTTGTTGATTTGGTTTCACACACCTGCATGCATCACCGTGATCAGATGAGAACGGGAGCTCACTGCAGTCCCAAGGATATAATCTAAGAGGAAGGGAAGATGTGACCTGGCCCCGGTGAATCCAGCCGCCTGTTTAATGTGCGTGGGGCCCTGGGGGGCCCCTCCCCCGCGAGAGTAAGCGGAGGTGCTGAACCATGGCCTTGCCCATAAACAGGGGAGAATTTGCACAGTCAATAGAGCCAGCTGGGAAAATTGATGCTGGCGTAAATAATACACAGCAAATCTAGTCCTTTATGCAGAAATTCATTGCCGGTGGCTCCAAGATGCAATGTAATTACCCCTCTCTTCCTGCCAGCTGTACCACAGCGTATGAAATAATCCCCCCCGCCCCGCCCTGGTCTGTTACAGTGCTGTGACCATCTCTCTGCGAGTTGTAGTCCCGGCTGGGTGGAGGGGAAGACAGCAGGGAAGGGGAAATCAAAGGCAGAACATGATCAGGATTGTTTACTGACCACATGTTTTTAAAGGAAGGTAGCCTTTCTTGGTTTGAGAGCCTGTTGTGTAGTTAATTAGTTGTGTCTTGGCTTCAGGAAAGGCGGTCAGAGTTAGAGGCAGAAGATATAACATTTACAGATGATGAGCGCAGGAGGGATAAAAGGAAGAGGTCCGGAGGACTGGGAGCAAGTGGCAACCCAGCCCCGGAGGGTATCTGCCTGAGTGAGGACAGGCTTGGTGAGCCAAGACTGGAGGAACCCTGGTGCTGGTGCTTCCACAGGCTCTCGGGAGAAATGAACCCGCAGCCTCCTCACTAGGAGCAGTGGGTACGTAATGGCAGCCTTGTGCATGCATGCTAAGTCGCCTCAGTCATGTCCGATTGTTTGTGACCCCATGAACTGTAGCCCACCAGGCTCCTCTGTCCATGGGATTCTCAAGGCAAGAATACTGGAGTGGGTTGCCATTTCCAAAGGGATCTTCCTGACCCCAGGACTGAACTCTTGTCTCTTACATCTCCTGCATTAGCAAGCAGATTCTTTATGACTAGCGCCACCTGGGAAGCTAGTTGCAACCATAGTAGGAAAGAAAATGTTAAGCTGGGGATGGCACATCCCTGTCACTTGTACCATTTGGAAATCTTGAACCCACGCAGGCATCAGCAAAAAATCAAGCATTCTCTTTTGCTGAGCTCAGAGGTCTTTGCAATTTTAGTTTTTCTCCACGTGACACTCCAGGCAGCCACCACCAGTCCGTTGAAATTGATGTTCAAGGCGGAGCCTGGTTGCCATCTCTGCCCTGGGCACATCTGCCATGTTTCCTGTAGGTGGTGTCAGGTGCTTCGTCCCTGACTCAGGACCCCAGAATTGTAGATTTGAGAGGCCCGTAAAGATCATATGCCCTGGGATTTCCCTGGTGGTGTGGTGGTTGAGAATCAGTCTCCCAATGGAAGGGATGCAGCTTCGATCCCTGGTCGAGGAACTAAGATCCCACATTCTGCAGGGCACTGAAGCCCGTTCCACAACAAAGATCCACATGCTGCATCTAAGACACGAGGCAGCCAAATAAATAAAGACCATATGCCCCATCTTGTCATTTAGCCGAGAAGCAAAGTGAGGTCCGAGAGCAGAAATGACAGTCCCAGTGGCAGAACACGGGCTGGAACCTAGGACTCTCAGTTCCTCAGCCGGGATTCTGTGTCCATGTTGCCTTTGGTTTTCAATTGGTACAGCTGTGCCCTCGGTGGGGACTTTTCCCAGCCACACAGCCTCACCTAGGCAGCCTCTCTGGCCACGGGGCGGAGCACCGTTCACTGTTGCTCCAGACTCCCCCATGACATCCTACAGGACTTTGCCCCTCGCAACGAGCCCTGGGTCTTAGTCGTGGCATGTGGGATCTAGTTCCCTGACCAGGGATCAAACCCAGGCCCCTTGCATTGGGAGAGCAGAGTCGTAACCACGGGACCACCGGGGAAGTCCTGTCCACATTTTATTCGGTGCATCTCGGAGCTGAACAAGTGCACTTCACCTGCTGCACAAACTTGGCTCCTTGAGTAGCCTTTGAATCCTAGCTCTTCCCTGCTTCCCTAGTTTCTGGGTGTAAGAGTCTCAACATAAGCTGGGGGTTTGCAGGAAGACAATAGGTATATGCTGAAAAGGATACAAAGTCAAGGAACAAGATTTCCATCTCATCTCACTTGGTCTTCCCTCTGACACTTACTGTATGCCATTGGATCAATCTGCCTCTTTAAGTCTTAGTTTCATCCACTGGGGAAAGGGGGAAGATAATACCTATTGCATAGAATGGCTTTAGGGTCATATAGCTTATGTAAAATGCCGGATACTTCCCCAGGCATATCATAGGACCTCAATTTCCTATTGCTTGAAAGGCTTGGGATACCTGGGAGGAACTGGAGACTGCTTCCTTCTGTCTACGAGGCCGGCCTCATGGTCTTGTGACCTGTGCGACTGCACAGAGCCCTGAGCTTAGTTTAAAGCTCTGCTGTTCATCAACAGGCATGGCTGGAGAAGACGTGGTACATGGACACAAGGGAATAGTACTCGGCCATAAAAAGGAACAAAGTTGGACCATTTGCAGAGACAGGGATGGACCTAGAGACTGTCATATGGAGTAAAGTAAATCAGAAAGAGAAAAACAAATATTGTATATTAACATGTTTAGAATCTAGAAAAATGGTATAGGTGATATTTGCCAAGCAGAGACAGATGTATGGATATCGAAGGGGGAACAAGGGGGTGGGAGGAATTGGGAGATTGGGGTTGACATATAAACACGATTGATACTGTGTATAAAATAGATAACTAATGAGAACCTCCTGTATAGCAGAGCGAAGTCTACTTGATTCTGTGGTGACCTCGATGGGAAGGAAATCCCAAAAGGAGAGGATATATGTATATGTATAGCTCTTCACTTTGCTGTGCAGTAGAAACTATCAGTAGAAACACAACATTGTAAAGCAGCTACGCATGCGTGCTGAGTGGCTTCAGTCGTGTCCGACTCTCTGCGGCCCCGTGGACTGTAGCCTCCAGGCTCCTCTGTCCATGGGATTCTCCAGGCAAGAGTACTGGAGTGGGTTGCCATGCCCTGCTCCAGGGAAAGCAACTCTACTCCAATAAAAATTAATTAAAAAATGCTTTTCTGTTGCCGTTCAGAAATTCTTATCACTATTTGAACAAGGATCCCACATTTGCACTGTCCCCTGAAAACTCATTTATTTAGTTTTTGGCTGTATTGGGTCTTCGTTGCTGCATGTGGGTGTTCTCCAGTCGCCAAGAGCAGGCACTAGTATCTAGTTGTGGTGTGCAGGTTTCTCACTGTGGTGGCCTCTCTCGTGGCGCGTGGGCTCTAGAGGGTGGGCTTAGTAGTTGTAGCACACGGGTTTGGTTGCCCTGTGGTATGTGGGATCTTCCCGGACTAGGGATCAAACCCATGTCCCCTGCGTTGGCAGGTGGATTTTTAACCACTGGACAGCCCGGGAGGTCCTGAGTCGAACCCTTGTATCAGCCCTTCATTTTGGCAAACACCCCTCTTAGGGAGCAATTCAGTCAGAGGATAATTTCCAGTAGAAAAATTGGAGTTAGCATCCTGTGTCTATTGTTCCATTCTGGGATAACCTACACCACCTCTCTCAGAAAGCAATACTTTATATTTTACAAAACTTATTGGTCCAGAGAATTTAAGAGGGGCCTGATGAAATGGAGTGATAATTTGGGATTTTGGTAGGTTAGTCACTAAGTTGTGTCTGACTCCTGTGATCCCATGGACTACAGCCCACCAGGCTCCTCTGTCCATGGGATTGTCCAGGCAAGAATCCTGGAGTGGGCTGCCATTTCCTTCTCCATTGGGATTTTGGATTCAGGAGAAAATTTAGGCTCAAAACCCTGTTGGACTTTTCCTGGCTAAATGACCTGAACAAGGTAATGTCTCTGGCTTATTGGTAAAATATATGTTGCAGAGGAATTACATTTTCCTCATTGGTAAAATAAATGTCTCAGGGAAATGAAACAGATAATTTATGTAAAGTGCTTGCCGCAGAGTCTGGCACATAGTAGGTGCTCAATCACCATTAATTCTTCCAGTTCTTGCCAAACATAACAAAAATCAGGACTCTAGGACTTACAAGCCACTCTGCTACTAATACAAGAAATAATAAGATTTATTTTTTCACTGCTGTTTGGGGAAATGTACGTGCTTCATAAATATGTATCGAAAAGTACTTAGCAAATGAGTAGAAATAATAAAAATACGTCAAAGTAAACAGCTCCTATAAATATGTCACTTGGTAGACAAATTAGTGTTTTATTACTACTAAATACTATTGCTTGCTGAAAAGGATTTCAGATTACTTGCACAACGGGTACATTATGGAGTGCCTCTGTGGAAGGGCACGATAAAGATGAAAAATAATGATGGTGATAATATGAAAGGTGGAGAAAGGAGGTGTGTGGGTAAATGCAGCTCTGAGCTCCTCCTTGCTTTAGTGACACGCATATTAGTTAGCAGCATTTCAATGATTTAGCTGTAATATGGACCAGAGGGCCCAGAAAAAATGATTTCCACAGGATGTCATGAATTCTGACTCCAATTATCAGGCCCATCAGTGGCTAAGTGCACTCCCTTTTGGAACTGTGCACTTAAGCTTAAAAACTAAGCTCACAAAAAGACATCTCTGGGTCTCACCCCATCCTTGCTCTGGACCTATTAACTTTCTATGATAACATCATCAAGAGAAGGAGAGTTTGGGTGGGGAATAGATGTGCCTTAATCACGGGTCGCAAAGCCTTTTCAGAAATAAGAGAGGATGGCATCTAAAGAGAAAAGGACTCAGAGTAGGGAAAAGAGGAGACAATGAATACCTTTGTGGGGGAAGATAAACCCCTGGGGAGAAGCAGAGGGAAC